TGGCTGTACTTGGGGGGAGGAGGGGGCGGGGGGGGGGAACCCTATGGGATGCCCGGAATCGAACCCGGGAAATAGTTTTCATTCTGGTCAGTCTGAGGACAAGGGCCCTTTCCACTGCCTCAATTCCTTACTTGCAAAGTAGGTCGAGATGGCTCAGGTGAGCCTGAGCACGAGGCAGAGGACTAGAAAGTAAACAGCCCCCTAGGTGGCGGCTGGATCCTGGATGAAGACCCCCTCTCCGACCCCTGCCCCCTGCCACTCCCCAGAAAACTGTGCTTCGGAGTGACCGTCACTGTCTCCCAAGCAGATTTTGTTTATGGAAACCAAATGTGAATTTCCCATAATTTCCATGATCTAGTTCTCTTCTGACTTTTCTTCACCACCTACAAATCTAAAGCCCAACGCTAGTTCGCCTGAAACTGTTGGCTGGATTTCTCCCCAGCAATTCTCCATGATGGATGCAACTTATGCTAGCGCATGTGCATTCTTGATCATCGACGATCAAGGATCAGGGACGCTGTCTCATTTGCCAAGGTGTCGAAAATCAGATGGGCTGGTCACGTAATGAGATTTAAAGACGACCGCTGGACTAGAGCTGTTACCGACTGGATTCCACGGGATGTCAAAAGACCACGTGGCTGCCCACCTATCAGATGGTCAGACTTCTTCGTCAAGATCATGAACGATCGGTTTGAGGCCCTTCATGTTCCCGGAGCGAACAGATGCCATTGGGCTACACTAGCACGCGACAGGGACAAATGGAGACGTTACTGGCGCCCGCTCTAGCAAATCGCCGATTAACGGGAAGTTAAGTGATTCAGTGATAATTCTCCACGGGCCTTTGCACTGGAGGGAGGAATATTCTCTTCCTACTTCCCCATGGTGGGGTGGCAGTGATGAATTTCGGCAAGTACACAGACCATAATGGGGATAACTAGAGAGTTTTAGCTTTGCCTGGCTTCGTTAGAAGGCTTGGTTAGGAGACATCTAAAATTCTCAGATTCTCTTTCTTGGTTGAGGCAGAAACCCTTAGAAAATTGGGTGGAAGAATTATTTTTCTGACCTTTTGCTCTGCTGATTACTTGAGTTTATTAGGAAAATGACACATGCTTTTTACTGATGGAACATTTTCTGTAATGAAACCTTATTTTTCTTGCAAAAAACAAAAATTAAAGAAATAAAATTCTCAGATTCTCTTAGGCATCAAATTCCCCCTGAGAGCAGAGACTGGGGGCCCTTTCCTTGGTGCATTCTGGTTGCTAAGCACTTCTACAAGAGCCTCAGGCCGAGGGCAGAGGCCTTGGGTGCTTCTGTGTTCAGCTACAACCCCAGAGTCCCAGAGAGCAGAGATCGTGTACGTGGGCTCCATTGGACTCAGGTGGGTGCAGAAAGGAAACTTCTAGGTCATAAGGCAGCCCTTCTTTAGAGCAGCTGCAAGAGTCGGGCCCTGGAAGCAAAGTCGGAACCATATTCTGGGTGCCAGCCTGTATCCTAATGTGTGCTGGGGTGGGGGCTTGGACTTTTGGAGACATGAATTCCTACTGGAGGAGAATACAGGGAACTTTCCAGTGTCTGGGAACCCATGTTTTAATTTTTTTTTTTTTTGCTTTTTTGGGTCACACCCAGCAATGCTCAGGGGTTCCTCCTGGCTCTGCACTCAGGAATTACCCCTGGTGGTGCTTGGGGGGACCCTATGGGATGCTGGGAATTGAACCCAGGTCGGCCGCGTGCAAGTCAAACATCCTCCAGCCCCCATGTTTGATTCTTGTTTCTGTTTTGCCTCCAAGTTGGGTCAACTGCCATTGTCTCTGGTTACCAGCCCGCTGGACACTGCCATCAGGCAAGCATGAGTTTGTTGGGTGCTGGTAGCACTTGTGCCAGGCATGGAGAGGCAACTAACTCACACATGCAAGGACAGACAGCGGGACAAGCAGAGAGAAGGCCGGGCAGGCAATGGTCCGTGTGCGGACTGACAGGGCCTCTGTGGGGTCCCTGCCCCTCCACCCCCCTAGAGTACAGCCTGGCTGAGTCTTGTTCATTTACCTCCCAGCTGTGGGCCCGCGCCTGGCACGGAATAAGTGCAGAGCCGGCGCTCAGTATGTCGCTGTTTCATCAATGAATGGCTAAAATCATAAGTCAAAGAAATAGCCATGCAAATGCTACTAAGTACTACAGGAAAAAAATGCCCATGCTTGGTGGGGGCGGGGAGGGGGCTAGCTTAAGGATCGCAGAATAGAAAAAAAAAGAGCATCCTCTCAATGGTGGTCTTTGCAGAAAGCTGCTCATGCGAACAGCTGTAACAGGTCATTTCATTTTCATTTCATCATCCTGTTATTCGTCGATTGCCTCGAGCAGGCCCCAGTAACGTCTCCTTCATCCTAGCCCTGAGATTATATTCAAGGCTCTTTAGGAGAATGAGACCCATCATTGTTACTGGTATTTGGCATATTTGGTACGCCACGGGGAGTTTGCCAGACTCTGCCCTGTGCGCAGGCTACATTCGATAGCCTGCAAGTTTGTCCAAAGTAGGAATGAGATAATAAGATGTCATAAATAAAAGTTCTGATAAGATGTCTCTGAGTCTTGGCCGCTGATGGGATTACACGGCACCAGGGGACCAGGTGGTGGGTGTGACCCCGCCTACTGGAATTTGGAGGATCTGGGTGGAAGATGCTCGACTCCAATCCGAGTAGGCTTGGAGATCTCAGCCCCGGAACCCGCGTGACTTTGTCCTTCTGCCAGTACCTTCATGGGTGCGGAGAGTGGTCTCAGCATGGTGGTGGCTGGTCCTGGAGGTCTTCGGCTGCCGGAGCCCTGGTCGGGGCGGGGAGGAAAGCTCAACCCGCTCCCCTCCAAGGGCCCCGGCGAGGAACAGCCAGGCATGGGGGCAGAAGACTGCACCGTTCTCGTCCGGGAGCTGGATTTTAAGAGGCAGGAAAGGGTCAGCTTGCACTGAGCACATTTTCCATGAGGATAAAGAGTCCCCCATCTCCTGATCGCCCCCATGATTGGAAACGGGCTCTGTCTGGCTCCAGTTCTGGCTGGTGAAGGGGTCCAAGCGCCTCCATCTCTTCCCCCATGAAGAGAGCCGTCGGTCTTTCTTGGGCCCGTGACCAAGCCCTGGCAGCGCGGGTCCTGGTCTCTGTGCAGGCACCCTGGTGGGGGGGGGGGGGTGTGCAGGGAGACTTGAGTGTGTTGTGGGCTTAATTCCTGTCTCTCCTCCGCTGCCGCAGGGGCCATGGGGAACCAGCTGAGTGTCCCGCGGAGAGTCGAAGACCAAGAGGACCAGCCAGACACAAACACACACAAGGTAGGGAGGACTCCGGGCACCCGGGACAATGTCACCCTCCTCGAGAGCCTCACCAGGCACACACACACACACACACACACACACACTCTGGCCTGAGAACTGTCAGCGGTGACTGTTGCTGCTGTATATTTATTTCACCTTCCAGATCCATCAGGAGGACTGGTTTAAAATATAGGCTCCAGGGCCAGAGCAATAGCACAGCGGGCAGGGCGTTTGCTTTGCACGCGGGCCGACCTGAGTTCGATTCCCAGCATCCCATAGGGTCCCCTGAGCACTGCCGGGAGTAATTCCTGAATGCAGAGGCAGGAATAACCCCTGTGCATTGCCAGGTGTGACCCCAAAAAATAAAATAAAAAAGTCTTCCTCGTTAGTATAGTGGTGAGTATCCCCACCTGTCACGCGGGAGACCGGGGTTCGATTCCCCGACGGGGAGATGTTGAAGATCTTTTTGGGCTGGAGCGATAGCACAGCGGGTAGGGCGTTCGCCTTACAAGCGGCCAACATGGCCGACCCGAGTTCGATTCCTCCGCCCCTCTCGGAGAGCCCGGCAAGCTACCGAGAGTATTCGATATGCCAGACACAGTAACAACAAAGTCTCCAATGGAGACGTTACTGGGCCCGCTCGAGCAAATCGACGATCAACGGGAGGGCCTTTCCCTTACCTTTTACAGGCTCCAGGGCCAGAGCAATAGTACAGCAGGCAGGGTGTTTGCCTTGCACGGGGCCCACCCAGGTTCGATTCCTCTGTCCCTCTCAGAGAGTCCAACAAGCTACCGAGAGTATCCCACCCACACGGCAGAGTCTGGCAAGCTCCCCATGGTATATTCGATATGCCAAACACAGTAACAACAAGTCTCACAATGAAGATGATACTGGGCCTGCTTGAGCCAATTGATGAACAACGGGAGGACAGTGCTATAATATATATAAACACATAAGGGTCAACCTTCAACAACATGTTAGCAATCTCTTACAGAAGGGCTCAATGGCCCCTGGGTAAAATACACACTTTCCTCTAAGGAAACTTTCTTGGATCACTTTCAGTGGTTTATTCAGAACAAACGATACAAAATGAATTATTTCAGTTCTGCTTTGGAACAGGGTTGGGGTTGGAATGGGAATATCCCAAACATGGTGGTGGGAAGGTGTCATGGTGGTGAGATTAGTGCTCGAATATTAAATATAATCAAATATGGTGAACTAATTTATAAAAAAATGAAATTTAAAAAAGAAGAGGAAGTCCTTAGCACCACCGAGTGTGGCAATCAACCAATCAATCAATTTTTGCAATCAGTGACAGGAGGGGAAAAGACAGTCAAGGCGAAGGTTCTGCAGGGGCCCCTGATATGGTTGGGGGGGGGGGTGCGATGGGAAGGCAGTGGGAGACCGCTGACCCCCCCCCCCCCGCGTCCAGACGGACAGGACAGAGCATCTGTCCAATGGGCTCATCCCAGGAGGGCAGCATGGACTCCAAGAGCAGCCGCATCAGGACCTGAGCTTGGGGGGGGTGGGACAAGGGAGGGGTCTATCTGTTCCTTACAGGCCTGGTGGACAAGAGGGGACACTCAGAGATTCTGCTGCCTCCATGTCCAGGGTCATCCCCCGGCTCTGCTCTGGAGACGCTGCCTCGAGTTCCGGTACACCCACCACCACCAAAGACCAACTGACGGTGCCCCTTGCTTCCTTCCAGGTGACCTCTGGGGATGACCATGAGCACAGCGGGGGTCTGGTGACCATGGTGTCCACGCACACGGTTCACTGCTATGACGAAGGTGGGTGTTGCGCTGGAAACGGGCGCCAGGGGCTGCCTTTGGCAACACCAGCATTAGGGGCCCTGCCCTGCGGTGACAGAGCCTCCCAGACTGCAGGAGGTGGTGGGCACTCGGATGTGGAATATAAAGACAAAAAGAGGGAAATAAACTCACGACACTAACTCCTCGGCTCAGTGAAAATTGCCGGGAAGGATGGGGAGAAGGAGCAGAGGGCATCTGTGGAGTTGGGGGATAATCACGCAGACGGTATGAAGGGAACCCCTGAAATTCCATAATTATTGGAAACCAGTAAGTCCATGATAACAGCAAATTAAATTTTGAATTTAAATTTAAAAAGATCTATATTTAGATATATTGACCAGGAAGGCCAATATGCTTGTCTTTGGCCATCCACACTGTGAACAAACATGATTGCCACTCAATGCCTCTCTTGCAAACCACAGGACCCAAAAGGAGAGAGAGAGAACAAAAGGGAATGCCCTGCCACAGAGGCAGGGTGGGATGGGGGGACGGTTGGTGGGAGGGATGCTGGGACCCGTGGTGGTGGAGGATGGGCGCCGGTGGAAGGATGGGTACTTGATCATTGTATAACTGAAACCCAAGCACAAAAATTTGTAAGTCTATAACTGTACCTCATGGGGTCTCACTAATAAAAAAATAAAATAAATAAATATATATATAAATAAAAAGAATGTCAGAGGGTGGGGCCGGAGCGATAACAGCGGATGGGGTGTTTGCCTTGCTCGCGGATGACCTGGGTTCGATTCCCAGCATCCCATATGGTCCCCTGGGCACCGCCAGGAGTGATTCCTGAGTGCAAAGCCAGGAGTAACCCCTGAGCATTGCTGGGTGTGACCCAAAAAACAAAAACAAAAAAGAATGTCAGAGGGTCAGTCACTTCAGCAATGGCCATTCATTTCTCCCAGCTCTGGGGACAGAGAAGCCCAGGGTACCAGCTTGTCTGGTTCTTCTTCTTAGTGATTCTTCTTCTCCCGTGTCCTCCCATGGTGAAGGGGGACAGGGGCTCCTAGGGGCTCTCCCATGAGGCCACTAATCACATCCAAGATGGATCCACCCAGGATCCTGGCCTGATTTTCCTCCAAAGCCCCGCCTTCTAACATTCGCACTGTAGGGGTTAGTAAAATATTTCCAACGTAGATGTTTCCAGTGTAGAAAACGGGTGATGCCAAAGATAGGTCCATCTCAGGGATGTCTAAGAGTAACAGAGAACTCCGATATGATTCGATTTTTATCAAAACCAGCGAGGACAAACACCACCTCTGTAGGTGTGACCTGACAAGTTCGTGTTGGTCTATGCGTGAGACACGCGGGACCACAACTGAGTGTTACTTGCAGTGAGGGTGAAAGGGAAGGGGAAGCACTGAGAGAGGAATCAGTCTGGGTAGTGGGCACGTTAAGGGGAGGTGGGGAGAGCCCAGAGGCTGGAGCTCTTGTTTTGCTGGCAAGGTCCCCAGGTTCAATCCCTACCTTGACACAGCACCCCCGCCCCCAAGTATCACCACTTTAGAATGAGTCCCACTCACCATTCTAGAATAGCCCTCTAGGCATGCTGGGGTGACACCAAACCCATGTGGATTGTTACCCACTTAAGGAAATAGTCCAAATGGAATAGCTACAGTGTCTCCAAATGCCATGCTTTCTCCATGTTGGAGTAAAGCCTGGCTTTGTGTTGAAATTCCCCTTGTATGTTCCAGAACTCTGTAGGCAGAGGCATGGAGCACGGAGCAGAGGGGGAAATCGTAGGGCCACAAGCATGCTCTTGCCTGATCAGACTCAGAACCACCCTTTCCAAGATTCTAGAACATTCTTCCCCGAGCCCTTTCTCCCAAGCATGGGAATAACTGGTACCTTTGACCCGCGGAATGCTGAAATCCAGCATGCCCACCGCTCGATATCCAGGCGGATTGTCTTGTGCTGAGAGCAGAGAATTCCTCCCCTCGCCCCCTAAGCCCCTTTTTTCCTTCTGATGCATTTTGAATCCGCACCGACATCTGGCTTTTGAATCTGAAGAAGGAAAGCATGACATCTGAGCCTTCGGTGAAATGTTCAAATCTAACTAACATCTTCCTTCAAGCCCAAGATCTGCCACATGCGTCCTTATTTCGAGACCTCTGAAACCACAAATGCATCTACACCACACAGCCAGCGTGGTTGTTTGAAGTGCCAGTCCGCTCGGGCACATGACCGCGACAGGCTAGCCCTTGCAGCTCCGCTGAGGTCTTCCTGGGGTTTCCCAAGGGTCCATGGTAACCCTTTGATATTCAAATATAGTCCTCTTTTGAAGAATGCCTGTGTTGTCATCTGCCTCCCCTTTTTATTCTCCCTTCTTGGATGAACTGTTCAAACTCTCCACCCTCCACCCCACCCCCCAGAATTTTCCTCCAGCGACTGTCATATGGGATCCAGGGCTTGACACGGAGGTGAACTCCTGCCTCCTTTTGCAAGATCTGCAATTTCCCTCTGCAGTTAATCTGCATTCCATCTCTGCCTTCTCTCCTCCCTATTCTGATAGATCAGCACACACACGCGGGTGCGGTGTGGCATATAGGAAGAGTTGGAGCCTGAAGATGTAGGATAACATTGGATTTGTCCTTTCAGCCTTGCCGTAGGGAACTTAGGTTTATCTGGTTACACCCATCACAGTGCTCCTAGTCACTCCCATTCCGTTGTTTATCTGTAAACTCTTCTCTGCACCCTCCCCCCCAACCAGTTAATCATCTTTTTCCCTAATCAGATTCTGTTCATTTGTAAGAGCAGATCCTCCCAAGGACACTGAACTTGTAAGTTATGTCTTTTGCATAGTTTACCTTAAAGCAATGTCCTTTCTGGACCTGGACACAGGAAGACAGTTAATATGATGCTTTTGTAACTTGGGAGTTAATTGACTCCGAATTATATTTACTCCCGGGCATCTGCTTTCCCAACTCAGTTTGTGTGGAAGTGGACATTTCCTGTGTGCATGAGATTCCCACCCTAGTCTCTGCTTCCTTCTCGAACCCAATGCCCCAGGAGGAGTCAGACCACGAGCCCTCAGAAGAACCCAACCCCATCTTGTCCTTTGTCCCAACGATGCCACACTCAGTTCTTGATCTCCACCTGTGTGGCGGGCCTGCCTTCTTCCACACGCCAAGTCTCACTGTGCAGCATGAGCTCAAAGCAAACTGACCTCTGTCCCCCCCCATTCAAGTGGGGAAGAAGCCAGAGGGCCATTAATAATAACCCTCCGATGCTCTGCGGAGCCTCCCGAGGGATTGGGGTGAGTGGGCTTAAGGAAGTCAGCCCTAAGGCCTGAGGATAGTGAGCCGGCCCTGGAAAGATCTCTGGGGAGACGTGTGCAAACAGGAACAACTGGTGCAAAGGGCTTTAGGGAGCACAGACAAGTTGGGGTGTGAGCAGTGCAAGGAGGTGGAGACGACTCTGGAGTGTGGGGGGTTATGACCAAGTGTACCTCACACGGTCAGGTCTCCTTTGAAGAGGCCCATGCTGAGGAATGACCTGATCTAATTTTTATTTTAAGAAACATATGCCAGGAGGCTGGAGCGATAACACAGCGGGTAGGGCGTTTGCCTTGCACGCAGCCAACATGGCCGACCTGGGTTCGATTCCCAGCATCCTATATGGTCCCCCGAGCACCGCCAGGAGTAATTCCTGAGTTCATGAGCCAGGAGTAACCCCTGAGCATCGCCAGGTGTGACCCAAAAAGAAAAAAAAATGAAAAACATATGTCAGTGGGGCTGGAGCGATAGCACAGCGAGGAGGGTGTTTGCCTTGCATGCCACTGACCCAGCTTCGATTCCCAGCATCCCATATGGTCCCCCAAGCACCGCCAGGGGTAATCCCTGAGTGCATGAGCCAGGAGTAACCACTGTGCATTGCCAGGTGTGGCCCAAAAACAAAAACAAAAATTAACATATGCCAGAAAGACAGCACGGAAGTTAAGGTGCTTTCCTTGCATGCAGCCAACCCCAGTTCAACCCTCAGCACCACTTAGGGCCCTCTTGAACCCACCACAAGGGGCCCCTGAACACAGAGCCAGGAGGAAGCCAGCCCTGAGCTCAGCTGGGTATGACCCAACCCCCATGCCCAAAAAACCATACACCAGTGTTTCCCAGATAAGAGAAATTGTGGATTTTTGTTTCACATGTACATTGTTTTGCCAAAAAGTGAAAAAAAAAAAAATCCAAGATTGCAATGAGCCAGTCATCCTTCCTCTTGGCTCTCTCCCTCTCTGTTGTTCTGGCTCTTACCACCCAACGTTGCTGGGAATCGGAACTTTGAAATCTGCAAACCCGGGGTCAAATCTAGACTCCGCTGTTCTGAGCTGGATGAGATGAGGAGGAGAGCTAAGATTTGCGGGACTTCGGTTTTGCCCCTGCCTGGAAATGGGGGTTGGGTTAGCCCCTCACTCATCAGTCTGCTGATGAGCCAGAACGGGATATTTCTGGCCGCAGAGGGCATTTACCCCAAGGCACGGCACCTGAGAAGCATCCCGTGCTGGTTAGCTAGTGTCTTGACAGTCGCACCAAGAGAAAAATTTTACTCTGGCACAAGGAAAACACAAAAGATCACATTTCCTTGGCAATTTCAATACAAACATGTGTTTGTGTTAAATCTGTGATTAAAGCAGCTTCACTTGGACTAAGAATACTTAGTTTTCAGGAAAATTGGCATTGGTTTGTTTTTTTTTTTTTTCCTGGCCAGATTTTTAGATATCTGAGGCTAAATCAATTCTCATCCTTACTATCTTTAGAAGTCGCTTCTGAGGACACAATTTTGTAGGGAAGCCAATGGAATCATTCCTTTCCTTATATTTAGTAACATAGACCAGAAACTGGAGGAACCGTATCAAAATTTCACCAAAACAACTAGAGTTCACCCAATACCTAGCACCTCTCAACTTGTAGTTGGCCCCTGAGAAGAAAATCCTCATCGTCTCACTCTGTCAAAGGCATCTTGTCCTTTGCCGTTTTACAAACACT